GTGATTGGGTCTCTCTAGGTGAGAGTGTTTAATGTGTGTAATCTGCGTTTTTTGCGTGTAATCTCCTTTAATGAGGATTAAGGGAGGTATTTATAACCTCGGGAAACGTGCCAATCTAGGTTTAGGTTAACCTTGGGCTGATTGGGCTTCCCTCGGAAGTTGGGCCTAGGTGACCGGTTATCCCAGGTGTCATGGGAAGGACACGTGTCGTGTCGTAATTGGTCCATAGTGGACGGATCATTGCTTGACACATGGCAGGCTCCTATTGGCCCATGTGACGGACACATGGCGGAACCTGATTGGTCCACTTGTCAGATGGTGATTGGTGGGGAAAAATCCCCTAATCAACATCAATATCATCGAAAATTACAACATAAATATCATCAAAAATTTGCAATACATAATAAAAAAAAATTACAACATATAAATACAAAAAAAAATTACAATATAAATTTAAAAAAAAAATTACAATATTGTTAATAAAAAAAAAACAACAAAAACACCATTCATTCTTGTATCTTGCTTCTTCGATTTCATATCTGAATAACATATCTGCACCAATTATATAAAAAAAAAAAAAACATTAATACAATTAAGCTTCGAAAAAAAAAACCCAGAATTTAATCCCAAAAATTGAAAAAAAAATTCAAACCCAATCTGAAAAACGAAAACCAAGAAACCCAATCTGAAAAACCAAAACGCAAAAACCCAAATCTAAAAAACCCAATCTGAAAACAACAACCCAGAAACGCAAAAACAAAAACCCAATCAAAAAACAAAAACCCAGAAACCCAATCTGAAAACAAAAATTGAAATCGAACAAAACCCTTACTATTTGGATTTTAATCAACAAAAACCCAGAAAACAAAAAAAATTGAAAGAGAAGTGAAACAAAAACCCAGAAACGCAAAAAAATTGAAACAAAAAACCCTTAATGTTGTTGTTGTTGTTGTTGTTACGGTGGTGAAACCCTTGTTGCGGTGGTGTTCTTGTTGTTGTTGCGGTGGTGTTGTTCTTGTTGCGGTGGTGGTGTTGTTCTTGTTGCGGTGGTGTTGTTGTTGTTGTAGAGAAAGAGAAGTGAATGGGACGGAAAGATCGAGGAGAGAGAAGGGAGACCGAGGAGAGAGAAGGGAGAGGAGAGAGTGAAAGAGGCGGATTGAGAGGAGAGAGAGGAGCAAGCTGCGCTTTTAGGGTTTTAAGGAGAGATAAGGCCGGTTTTTTTTTTAATAATTAAAAGGTTCGGTTCGCAAAGGCACCGGTTCAAACCGGTGCCTTTTATTCTGGTTCAGCTTTGTACCAATTTTGTAGCCCATTTTTTGGCACCGGTTTGGACTGAACCGGTGCCAATTAAGGGGTGCCTTTTTGATATTTTCTACTAGTGATACTTCCTCCGTTCTTTTTTTTTTATTGCACCGTAGGAGTTTAGCACAAGATTTTTGGTAGTGGAAAAAAGGATGAGAGAGAAAGGTAAAAATACAAGAATGCCCATGTGATAGTATATATAAACTAAAAAATCAATTCAGAAAAAGCAAGGGTATATTTGGTATTTGTAGTGTGAACACAAGTATTTCTTTTCCTAAAATAAAAATGGTGCATAATTTGTGATATTTCCTTAAAAGGTAAGTGGTGCAATATTTAAAAAACCGAGGAAGTATAAGAAATCAAGAATAGTGCAAATAAGCAAATACTTAGATTAATATTAAGTATATAGGATTTTGATCTTAGTTGTATGAAACAATGAAAGTCTCAATCATCAACTTCTTTGTTTTAAGTTGTTCAAGATATATTGTAATTTTTGTAAACTACGTATCGAAATCACAAGTTTAACAAAACCTCGCATCAAAATTGAGCTCTTTGGTGATCAACCAAGACTACAATGAATATGGGTACATCATTTGGAAATTTTTAGAATATATGTTAATATATTCTTGTATATATCTTAATTAGTTAAGTGTATATTTTAGTATTTATCCTATTCTAGTTTGTGGGCATTAGGATAATTAGTTAGCACAATTGTAGCCGAAAGATAGCTACCATACTTTGTATATATTGTTTGCACAGTTAATGGAAAGGATCAACGGTCACATTCTTTCATGGTATCAGTAGGGTTTCGATCCTAATCTCTCTTCCTCTCTGTTCTCATGGCCCATCTCCCCTCTCTTCCTCCATATTTCTTTCAATCTTCCGCTGCAACATTCCATGGCCGAATCACCAAAATATCATCCTGCCTTTGCAATCACAAATGTAAAGTCTCTAATCCCGATAACTTTGGAGGCTGCAGGAATGTATCACTCTTGGGCCGCCCTCTTCAAGGTGTTATGTAGGGTTCATGACCTTACATCGCACATCATTCCTCCTACCGAGGCGACGGAACTCGCTGCATATGAAGCATCCAAAAAGGCGAACTTGGCCTTTTGGAAACGGCTAGACGCTGCGGTCCTTAATTGGATATACGGTTCCATTTCTCATGATCTTCTTACTGCCATCCTTCTCAAGGATGACACCGCTCAAGGTACTTGGGCTCGTCTTAAGTCTATGTTCCAAGACAATAAAGCATCCCGAGCTTCACACCTTGAACAAGAACTTGCTGACCTTGATTTCGAGAATTTCTCTTCCATTGATGGCTATTGTAATCACATCAAATCCCTTGCCGATCGTCTTGCGGATGTTGATGCTCCGATTCCCGATACCCGTCTAATTCTCAAGCTGACTGCCGGCCTTCCCGAGGCATATGCAGGCACGGTGGATTTTATCCAAAATCAAGAACCATTGCCATCATTCGAAAGTTGTCGATCTCGTCTGAAATTAGCCGAACGAACCATTAAAAATCGTTTGGCTAAGGAAGGAGGTTCGACCAACCGATCGCCGACAGCCCTCGTCTCCACTTCCGGCGGACAACAGCACTCTGATTCGTCAGTGAACTCCTCACGGTCGAACAAGAAAAATTCCATCCAAAAGAAACCTGCAAACAAGTCTTCAGGGAAGGCTTCACGCAATTCTGGGCCAGCCCAGCAAACCGGCCCAAACCCGCAGCTCTCTTGGCAATTTCAGCAGGGACAATTTTCGTGGGCTGCTCCTTGGGCTCAGTACTGGGCCAGCCCACCCTGTCCGTACCCTGCCCAGTCTTGGGCTCCTAGGCCAGCAGCTTCATCCACCGGTTCAAGGCCTGGTGGGCCTGGAATTTTGGGTCAAGCTCCACAGGCGTAAAGTGCAATGGAAAATGGTCAAAATTCGACTCCAACGCATATTGAAGCTGCGATGCAAATGCTTGCTAACCTCAACCACCCGGACAATAATTATTATATGGACACCGGTGCAACATCTCATATGACGGCCGATCAAGGTATTCTTTCCTCTTATATTAATTCGAGCATTAATAATCAAAACATTGTTGTTGGTAGTGGTGATTTAGTTCCAATTGTTGGTCACGATAGCGCTATTTTACCATCCCCGTACCCTCCCTTTACCTTAAACCATGTTTTGCATGCTCCTAAAATCATAAAGAATTTAATATCCGTCCGAAAATTCACAACTGACAATATGGTTTCAATTGCTTTTGACCCTTATGGTTTTTCTGTGAATGATTTACAGACGGGAGCCCCTCTAATGAGATGTGACAGTACCGGTGACCTTTATCCATTATTTTCTCACAGTCAAGCCAACTCTTCCGTTCACCATTCAAATTTCACTGCACTTTCTTCCGATCTTTGGCACAATCGACTAGGACACCCTGTAGATGTGGTTTTAAGATCATTAAATAGTCAAAAATTAATTGAATGTAATAAGGCTTGTACTTCTTTTTGTTCTTCGTGTCCATTAGGGAAACACGTTAAATTACCTTTCTTTAATTCAATGTCGCACACTACTTTACCATTTGATATTATTCATAGTGATCTATGGACTTCTCCCGTTACTAGTTCTTCTAGTCATTGTTATTATCTATTATTCCTTGATGATTACAGCAAATTTTTATGGACTTATCCCATCTCTAAAAAATCTCAAGTCAAACATCTCTTCCAATCTTTTCATATAACAGTCCAAACACAATTTGAACGTAACATTAAGACCTTTCAATGTGATAATGGCACTGAGTATGTTAATGGCACTCTTCAAAAAAATTTTGATAACCATGGCATGCTTTATCGTCTATCTTGTCCTCACACTTCTCCTCAAAATGGTAAAGCCGAACGACATATTAAATCAATAAATAATATTATTCGGACCCTTCTTGCTCATGCTTCATTGCCACTCTCTTTTTGGCACCATGCTCTTGCAATGGACACTTATCTTCTTAACATTCTTCCAACTAAAGTCTTAGGCTATAAATCTCCAACTCAAATTTTATACCAACGTGATCCAATCTATTTGGCATTACGAGTCTTTGGTTGCTTATGTTTCCCTCTTTTTCCTTCTACCTCTATTCACAAATTGCAAGAACGATCCACCCCTTGTGTCTATCTTGGCCCTGCGCCTAACCATCGAGGTTCGAAGTGCTATAATTTATCTAATGGTAAAATCATCATTTGTAGGCATGTGAAGTTCATTGAAAACGAATTTCTGTTCTCAAAGCTCCATACACCGAAAATTGACGATTATGATTTTTTGGATCAAACTCCACTAAATCACCTACACCATTTCAGCGCCTCTCAATCTCACCCACTCCATCCCCGGCCCAGCCCACTCCCCCCTCTTCCTCAAATCAGCACACGCACCCACAGATTGATCCACAGGTGGGCTGCGGCAATTCAAGCCCAACCGCAATCCCCTTGCGAACCATTCTGCCATCCCAAACTCCTCAGTCCGCTGTCACATCTCCTCTATTGGGCTCCCCTACCATCGAAGCCCAGCACACTTCCATTTTAACTCCTCCAATTTTTGACAGTCCACACACAAATCTTGCGCCACCTCCTTCTCCAACCCGTACCACTCATCAAATGACCACTCGAGCTAAGGACGGCATTGTAAAACCTAACCCCAAGTATTTTTCCAACTTAAACACCATGACCACTACATCTATCTCTCCTATCCCCAAGGACCAGGTTAGTGCTATTCGTGAGCTTAATTGGAAAAATGCAATGTTAGATGAATATAATGCTCTTATTGATAATCACACTTGGGACTTGGTTCCTCGGCCTCCTAATGTGAATGTTATACGTCCTATGTGGATATTTCGTCATAAACGAAATTCTGATGGTTCTTTTGAGCGGTATAAGGCTCGTCTTGTGGCTGATGGGAAGACTCAGTAGCAGGGTATTGATTGTGATGAGACTTTTAGTCCGGTTGTCAAACCGACCACTATTCGTACTGTTCTTAGCATTGCTATTTCTCACTCTTGGTCGATCCATCAGTTGGATGTCAAGAATGCTTTTCTACATGGTAAGCTCAATGAAACAGTTTATATGCATCAACCCATGGGTTTCCGTGACAAAAGTCGCCCTGATCATGTATGTCTATTGTGAGGTTCGCTCTATGGTCTCAAACAGGCTCCTCGGGCCTGGTATCAGCGGTTTGCAGATTTTTTCACCTCTATTGGATTTGCTAACAGTAAATCTGATAATTATCTGTTTATTTTTAGACAGGGATCCGATACTGCTTATATTCTGTTATATGTTGATGATATCATTCTTACAGCATCCTCTGATAGTCTACGGACTCGTATTATGGATCTTTTGGGCTCCGAATTTGCAATGAAGGATTTAGGTCCTTTGAGTTTCTTTTTGGGCATTGTTGTCACTCGTGAAGTCGTGATGCTAATGGTATGTTTTTGTCTCAGAAACAGTACGCCTCTTCTATCATTGACAAGGAAGGCATGTCTAATTGTAGTCCTTGTCCTACACCTGTTGACACGAAATCTAAACTTAGTGCTTCTCATGATGATCCATATGAGGATCCTACTAAGTACAGGAGTCTTGCAGGAGCTTTTCAGTATTTGACTTTTACCAGACCTGACATTTCATATGCAGTTCAACAGGTGTGCCTTCACATGCATGATCCGCGCAATGCGCATATGGGAGCTCTGAAGCGTATTATACGCTATTTGCAGGGCACTTTATCTTTTGGTTTGCATCTATATAAGTCTTCTATTAACCAACTGGTTGCTTATACTGATGCGGATTGGGGGGGATGCCCCGACACCAGGCGGTCTACTCGGGTTATTGTGTGTTCTTAGGGGATAATTTGATTTCCTGGTCTTCTAAGCGGCAACCTACATTATCTAAATCTAGTGCAAAGGCCGAATATCGTGGGGTTGCCAATGTGGTATCTGATTCTTGTTGGATCAGAAATTTGTTGCTTGAGCTATATTTTCCTATTCGAAAAGCAACTATTGTTTAATGTGACAATGTGAGTGCTATCTATCTTTCTGGAAATCCGGTGCAACATCAACGTACTAAACACATTGAGATGGACATTCTTTTTGTCTGTGAAAAGGTCGCTAAAAGGCGAGGTACGAGTACTACATGTTCCTTCTCGTTATCAGATTGCAGATATTTTTACGAAGGGTCTCCCACGGGTTTTGTTTGATGACTTCCGTACTAGTCTTAGCGTTCGTGATGCTCCCGCTAGGGGGAGTGTTAGAATATATGTTAATATATTCTTGTATATATCTTAATTAGTTAAGTGTATATTTTAGTATTTATCCTATCCTAGTTTGTGGGCATTAGGATAATTAGTTAGCACAATTGTAGCCGAAAGATAGCTACCATACTTTGTATATATTGTTTGCACAGTTAATGGAAAGGATCAACGATCACATTCTTTCAGAAATGGAGGGTATACAAGAAGTCAAGAAGTACAATCATATTAACATATCATCATAAAATGAATAATTTGATCAGGTCTAACTTATATATTTTGATCTTACCACTAAACTTAGAGCTTATTAATTAGTACATTATCCATAAGATAAATATAATTAATAAACGAGATGTCTTCATGTGTATTTTCCAACTACAAATTATTTATGATTTTCTAAATTTCATAAGTAAATGCAAAAATGATATAATTTGGTTTAATCTGTCCTTTGATCATTTATGAGATAAGCAAATATTTATTTAAATGAGTGAACTGATCATAGCATGAAATCATAAAGCAACCTCCTTTATGTTTTAGAATTTGTTTAAATTCAATATTAATTCCGAATTAAAAGAGACATATACAAATCATCATCCTAATAAGTCAAATAAAAACTTTTTATTTTTTATTTTTTGTGTTTAGAGAGTCATAAAGACAGGGTGAGAATTGATCCCATAATTAAACTAAGAGAGAAACTCTAACTAATTGAGCTATCCATCACTCTCATCAAATTAAAACTTTAGAATATTAAGAAATAGCGGACAAAATCTTATTTTATGTAAGCGGTAAGCCACATCCATTCCTCAATAATTAAAGGTTCTGTTCCATTGAGGATAATGTTACATTGAAAACAAATAATATATGAAGTTTTCAATTTATTTTAATAAGATTAACAATAAATTAATTTTCTGACCCAATGCAACTTCATACAATAACAATTTGAAGTATGTTAATCTTCTAAAGTCTTAATAATAACCTCAACTATGCAAGCATGAACTATTTTCAATGGACTCAATCACTCAATAGACATAATCGGTCGACCTCCCACCGGCCCATCTCTTATCTCCTCTAAGGTTAACACAAACTTGGGTTCCCTATGTTGAAAATAGTCAATCTTACAAACTCGTGTTCTCTTAGAAAATGTAACTATTAAGTATTAACCACATTAGCAAATCATTTATTTATTTATTTTTATTATTATTATTTTTTTTATGTATTTTAACCTTCATTAATGACTTAATGCTATGAACGATAGTAACTAAGAATAGTGGTTTTACCTCTTTTTTTTAATCAAATGTAAAAAAAAAAAAAAAAAAAATTGTTGCTATGTTAATTTCAATGTTAGGGCCTATTCTCTTACGTTGAAATTCAGTTCAATTCAGTTCAGCTCCTAATTTCCTTCTATTATAAAATATTCAGTTCAGTCAACGAGAACAGATCCTTAATCATTAAAATAAAGTTTAACTTCTTTGAAGTTATTCAAATACTAGTATATGAATTGAGGGTGTTGCCTTCATAATGAGTTTCTCCAAAAGTGGAGATGCCTTAACAAAATCAGCCCATCCAAGTAGGCTTTCATCACCCCTTGCTAGTTGCTATAACATGAAATTCCATATGCTTGAGGTTTCATCACCCCTGACTCGCGGATTTGGCCTGTATGCTTCTTCAAGATAGTTGCTGTTATTCTACCTTCTGACAATTGTGATATTTTATAGTTGTGAATTTGTGATGTTGTATGCTTTTTTCCCCCTCTTTTCTAGGCTGACTGAATAGAACGAGATTATGTCAATTCAATAAGTTATCTAAGTTTTTTTATGCACACTTACACGATCCTCTTTAGGTGATTGATAAGATTGTCATAGTGAATTAGTGATTGTAATAAAGTTAGTACTCCGTAACTCATATCTTTGCAAAATTGCACACTGCAAACTACACTTATAATGCTCTGCTCATTTCTGACCTCTTTTGTTGCATGCTTGAGAAATCAAGTTGTATTATTCAGTTGCTTTTATTTTTTATTTTATTTTTTTGAAAATTTCTAATCCGTGTATAAATATTAGTATTGCAAATTTAGATCAACAATCTAGAATGAACAAAGCACTGACTCCACTTTATAAATTTAGTCATTTAGATAAGAAATAGCCCTTGTAATCATATGGTTGCTGCCACAGGCAGTCTGAGCTTAGTGTAGAATTTGATATGGTAATTGAGCAAATATAGTCTAGCACATTATCATCTTCCTCAAATTCATTGTACTTTAATCTCCCTTCATTGCTCATGTTTCGGGTTGAACTAAAATCTCAAAAGTACAACTACAAATCTCCTAGACTATCAATACTATGGAGTAACTTACAATTTTCAGTCATTACAGTCAATCACAATTCACATTCATAGCACACCATTCAATTTCAAATTTGACCAAGTTACAATATCATTTGATTGTTAACAACTTAATAATTTAAAAGTCGAAAGACCCATTTGCCTAAAAGAAGAAATTAGACCAAATCGCAAAAAATTTCCAATGTTATCACATCATGCCCAAGTTTTAGCAAAACCTCAAATAAGCCCAATTTCAAGTAATCCCAAATACAGGAAGAAAACAAACAATTAAAACATTATTCCATAATATACGAATTAAATTATTCTTTAGCCACACTTATATCAGAACATTACCACAAATCCAGCATATAAACAGCATAAAAAAATAGGGGTTATTTCAACAAGCAATTTAGAAATGTCACCATTTTCATTTCATTGATTAAAATTCAATGTACATATACCAATACATAATAAAACTACTATCACTATTACCCATATTAGATTTCAGATTAATCAACTGAAACATCATCAAACTACTACTACTACCTTCTTCGCAAAACCCTAACCCTAGAAATTCCAATTGAAACCAAAACCCAAAAATCAAGCCCTCTCACCACGAATCCTGCGAGCAAGCTGGATATCCTTAGGCATAATAGTAACCCTCTTAGCGTGAATTGCGCAGAGGTTAGTATCTTCAAACAGACCAACCAAGTACGCCTCGGCAGCCTCCTGAAGAGCGGCAACAGCAGAGCTCTGGAAACGGAGATCAGTCTTGAAATCCTGAGCAATTTCTCTGACAAGTCTCTGGAATGGAAGCTTCCTGATGAGAAGCTCAGTGCTCTTCTGGTACTTCCTGATCTCACGAAGCGCAACGGTTCCGGGTCTGAAACGGTGAGGCTTCTTCACTCCGCCGGTGGCTGGGGCTGACTTCCGGGCTGCCTTGGTGGCGAGTTGCTTCCTTGGGGCCTTTCCTCCGGTGGATTTTCTGGCAGTTTGCTTGGTTCGCGCCATTGTTGATGATGAGAGAGAAAATAAAGGTTTTAGATAGAGAAAATTTGGAGTTGCAGAGAATGAATTGAGATTGTGAATGATTTAGGAGGGAGAAAGAGAGCGGTTATTTATAAGGAGGAGTTTTTGAAAATCGAGGTTGGGAGGGAAAGGATGTGGAGCGTTGATTTATGGGTATAATCGACGGTTGTGGTTGGATTTGGGGTTGGACACACGGATTATGGAATTGGAGGGTTAGTTATTGGCGGTACATTGCTTTAAAAGGAAATTCAAAGGTTTTGGCTTCGCGGGAAGTGGAATTGTTTTTTTGTTGTTTAGGAGGGGAGGTGAAGTTTTATGGTTTTGAATTTAAACGGTTTCATTTTCTACTACGTATTTTGTGAATTCCCTCCTAGCTCCTACTCAAAAATTTCAATTCACTCTTTTCGACCTTTTTTTTTCAATTTTTTATTTTTTGAAACATATTTCCATATTCAGTTTATTTTAAATTTTTAATTCATTCTAATTCAATATAATTCGAGAAAAGAACATATTTCCATATGAGAAAAGAATATAATTCGAGTGATTTTCCTAAATAATGATGGAAAGAGCTGAAATTTCATAATTATGGTTGCTATTTTTTATGAATTCCCAATCTACCCATGTCATTGGTTCAATTGGATTTTTTTTATTATTATTTATGGCAAAATCACTATTTCAAATAGCAATTTAGGTAGATAATCGCTATTTGAAGTAGTGGTCTTATTAGAAGGAAACGATTTCCCATTTAATACTATAATAAAAAAAAAATTGACTTTTCTTATTTTTCTCTCTTCTTTTCCTTAGCTCTTTCTCTATATTGTCTTTCAAACCGAAGTTCCCTTCCTCCATTGCTAATTCACACTTAAGCTTTAGATCTCCATCAAATTCCTCTCATTCCCTCTTCTAATTTCATTACTACCCATCATCCTCAAAGCCATTGTGGGTGGATTTAACTAGCTTAAACCCCGTGCCATGCCATGCACGATAAATCTAATAATTTTTAAGAAAATTAATTATATTTAAGAAATAAAATTGGGAAATTCTCAATGGTGAACTCCACTTTCTCCATTTTACAAGTGGTAAACAATCTTAAAATTAATTATCAATGGTGAAACTCACCTATAATTAATAATCAAATGGTAACCTTAATTATAATATAATCTGATTATTTAACCATGGTTAACACTTTAAAATAAACTTTTAAAAAAATATATCTGAAATTACATTACTGCCCTTATTTAATTCCCTTCAACCAATTATGTCAAATCAAACATAAACCCATTGTCTTCCTCATTCAGATTTCGTAGAATTCGAATGCTGGTTCATCAACTCTTTCATTTTAAAGCTCAAATTTTTCATATTCGTGGGAAAAAATTATTGGGTAAAAATTATCGAGTGTTAGCACATTGTTT